GAGTGGAACATGAACTCCGCAGAAAGACCCTTTGTGCTGAGGGGGTCACACATCCTCTGTAGGAAGAATTCACATGAGACAGATTCATATGTGCGGGAACACACACGAGCAAATGGCATCGCTTACTGAAAATAATATTAGGAATATGTAATATGACCAACGATGATGGGCTTTTTTTGGAAATAATGTGAATGAGCAAGTAAAGCGGCACCGGGAAAGTGATCACCACGCAGTGATTAAACAGCATGGTTCTGTGGTAGGTTTTTTCTGAAGGCTGAAATCTCAGTAATATTTTAAAAAAAATGTAACCAAGTGATGGCCACTAAATTGTACTTATGTTAAAAATATACAGTACATTAAAGATAACAATTTCCCTCATTACAATAGCTATATTACTACGGCAAACATGAAGCAAAGATTATACGTCATTATTATGTGAATACTGCCATATATTGTGTTTGTATTATAAATCCTTCTCCTTTGCCCTCTGTCCTCTTATGATGAGGATTAGCCAAACACCTATATGTGCCTACATCGATAATACATACAGTATTTTTTTATAATTTAAACTGCCAAAGAAAAGAAAAAAGACAACGGGTGGGTGCGTTAGAGGAGAGGTTCATCCTGTACAGACTCTCACTTCCTTTCAGGCTATTTGAGTGGTTTGTGTGTTGATTTGTTTGACCCACACCTCTACAGTGAGGTCACACTCAGGAAGGCTAGTCAACCAACACAACACTCAGCACTACGACTCAGATAATGCTTCAACATTGGTTTGAATGGTTACCGAGGTCAGTTGAGGTAATCCCCAATACCACTTTTGGAGGTTGATCTAAATGGGTTAACTGAACTCAGATATGGTACACCACTTAGCTTTGGCGTTTACATTCTGGATGGTTAATTTGTTAAATGTTGTATATGCTTAACAACATTTGACCAACTATCTGAATTGTCAAACCAAAGTGAAGAAAAATATCTAACCTCACACAATTACACAATTGTTAGGATGCCACCTGGGCGCCTCCCTAGGGAGGTGTTCCAGGCACGTCCAGCTGGGAAGAGACCAAGGGGTAGACCTAGGACCAGGTGGAGGGATTATATCTCTTCGCTGGCCTGGGAGCGCCTTGGGATCCCCCAGTCAGAGCTGGTTGATGTCGCCAGGGAAAAGAAAGTTTGGGGCTCTCTGCTGGAACTGCTACCCCCGCGACCCGACCACGGATAAGCGGGAGAAGATGGATGGATGGACACAATTATACCAAATGGCCACATTCTGAACTTGTCATCATAGCCTCCTCTTGCCTGAACAAAACGACTATTGGCAGGACAACATTATTTGTCTCTGCTTTTCAAGATCCTTTTAAAATATTTTAAAAGCCATAATTATAACAGATACTAGAATGCTGTGTCACTTAAACATTTTTCTGGGGCGTTTGTTTTGGTCTGACGTTGTTTTAGGGATGACTCACATTGTCTGTTTTATTCCGTTTACAAAATCAAATGACGCCGGTAAGGACGCTTCAGTTGATGATCCGACAGGCTCTTTGTTTGCAGAATACTGAGGTTTTAAACTGTGGGGGCTGACAGTGGAGCGGAGGCAACAGTTACAAGGACTGAAGTATACCACAGAAACAGGCCATACTAAATTGTAGAATAAAAGGGGCCAGTACACGTACAGATCATCCCATGAATATTTAGAAATATTTCGTCATGTTTGTTTTTCCTTGCCACACTCGTGAAACCTAAGATACAGCATTTCATGCTAGACTCTAAAATACATGCAACTAATGTGCCAGATGCCAGATTCATAGTACACTTTCCACAATGCCAAGCTCCAACCAGAGTTTGAAATCCCAATCGGGCCGATCTGACAAAGAAACCATTCACACTAATTTACACACACACACACACACACACACACACACACACACACACACACACACACACCACACACACACACACACACACACCACACACACACACACACACACACCACACACACACACACACACACACACACACACACACACACACACACACCACACACACACACACACACACACACACACACACACACACACACACACACACCACACACACAACACACACACACACACACACACACACACACACACACACACACACACACACACACACACACACACACACACACACACACACACACACACACACACACACACACACACACACACACACACACACACACACACACACACACACACACCACACACACACCACACACACACAGACACACACACACACACACACACACACACACACACACACACACACACACACACACACACACACACACACACACACACACACACACACACACACACACACACAGCTTTCGTCAGTCTAAACTTTTAGCGAACTTGAACTACCCCAAAACCCTGTGGTGACAACATAAAAAGTAGTTCTCAGGTTACAAACTCGCCCAAAATAGACCATAAGTACATAGTACTGCTATCTGGTGACATAGATTATGGTTTAGCATGGTGAAAAACACACACATAATGAATTCAGTGCACGCTCTTTAAAGAAGAGAGCATCGTAAAAATAACAAATTATGCAAATAAAGTCATTTAAATCCACTGTAATACATGCATGCACTAACATTTGGTTATACATGACAAACTGTATTGTGTTTCTCATAAGTGATAAGGCTGACACACAGTTTAAAGTCCGGACTAAAGGACACAGGAAAAGCCTCCTAAACGCCTGATATTCATCATACGATGATGACTCATAGCTGCATACAATTCAAACATGTACACAAGGTATCCCACAAGGACCCTTTAAACCCTTAATTGTTGTACATTAAGAATTATCATTATTTCAGGTCGGTTCTTCTGAAAATATGCATCAAGCTCCGAAATGAGCCACAGGCCTGTTTCTAGTGGGCTCCCACATGACATAAGTAATAATATGCTTTCAGGAGCAGGAGCAGAACGTCTGTCCCTTCCTGGAATAGGAAAAAAAAAGGGACGTCCTCCAAGCGCAGTAGTTTTTGGAATAGCTAATCTGTGTACAGGAAACAGGCGCTAAGACTTCTGGCGCTAGTGGGCTGAGCAATCAAAACAATCTCTCCATCTTCTGATCGAGGAGAAAGAAAACTACGCCAGAGTCTTCAACACACTTCATCAACAGAGAGAGAGTGAGGGGAGGGAGGTGGGAGAGAGGGAAGGGACGGTTGCAAGAGATGAAGAGAATGATAGAGGTGAGGTAACCATTGATATCAGGAGAGGAAATGAGGGATTTAAAGACAAAATATTCTTTACTAACTCTTACTTTCTTTCTTCTATAATCTCCTGTCCTATTTTCTTTCCCATTTTCTCGTATTTTTCCCTTAAATGTTTCTGTTATCTACACTCCTTTTCCCCTCTTTTCCCTCGTGTCCATGCTTTCCTCTGCTTTCCCCTCCTCCATCTGTGTGTTATGAGAAGGAGTTGGGGAGAAAGTACGTGGGATTTTCCCACAGCTCGGCAACAGCAGAACCCCCCCCCCACACACACACACACACACACACACACACACACACACACACACACACACACACACACACACACACACACACACACACACACACACACACACACACACACACACACACACACACACACACACACATCACACACACACACACACACACACACACACACACACACACACACACACACACACACACACACACACACACACACACACACACACACACACACACACACACACACACACACACACACACACACACACACACACACACACACACACACACACACACACACACACACACACACACACACCTCTCCTTCTGTCTCATGTCAGAGGGGAGTCTTGAGGAAAACCACCCATATTCCACCACCAAGTTTTCTGGATGTTTGTTGGAACTTTTTGCTGCTAGTTGTTCCATAGACATAAACGTTGTGCTGCTATGGCAACAGGATAATTAAACCAAGGTTACAGGATAAAAATATCTCTGCCTTTAAAGAAAAACAGTGCTCCTATTAAACATTTAACAGGCAAAATACTACTAATTAAATCCTTTCAATAGGTTTCAGTTCTCACAAGATGAAAAACAGGTTGAAGATTTTGTGTTTCGTTCTTTCCAGGGACATTAAACTCCATGGTAAGCTCCATCTAGCCGTGCACTTTCTGACCCTTTTTCTGGTCTAGCTCATAGTTCCATCACGCTAAGCATTTTCACGCATTGAAACCCTTAACCCTTAAACGTATATTGCAGATGCTACACCAACTCACTTGTAATACTTTGTTTAACCCTCTCTTGTGAAGAATTCAGGAACTTGAAGGCCTGGGATAAAAACCCACTAAGACTTTTAAGTTATCTCATTATATCACTATACAAATATCTGGGAATTGGAGATGAACTCATCTATTTGGTTACACGATCCCTACCTTCATAAACTTCAAAAAGCAGAGTGTGATTGTGTGAAAAGTGGAGCACAACCTCTTCCGCTTTGTTTTAAAAGTGGTAACTAAGATTAAAATATCTCGAGAAGCTCAGCATCTGTCCTGGTGCATTTCCTCTGTGGTGCATTTGTATTTATTAGTGACCTCTGACAGAAAATCAATTCCCCAGAGTTTTATTTGTTCGTGTTACGGTCAGGTTTAGAAGTTGCTCTAAATATATTTTTCCCCAAAACACCAAACAAACCATCAACACTACCAAAATACATAAAGTTAGACGAGACAGCTAAACATGTTTTGACATTCTGTTGTAAAACTTGGTTAAGAAAAAGGTAACTAAATATGATGTCTGCCATTATTTCCTTATCCATGTTCATTTTGACACACCTGCCTGAGTCTCAGTGCAGCAGGTTATGTGTGTATGTATGGTATGTATGTATGTATGTGTGTGTGTGTGTGTGTGTGTGTGTGTGTGTGTGTGTGTGTGTGTGTGTGTGTGTGTGTGTGTGTGTGTGTGTGTGTACCTGTGCAGGTGTGTGAGTGTGTGTTACCTCTGCAGCCTGTGTCTCCTGGTGCAGCAGGGTTAGCCCTGTCAGGTCCTCCAGGAAGGAGTGGGATGAATTAAACACATTGGACAGGAAGTTGAAACCTTCCTTCTCATAGTGCTCAAGGACCTGGAGAAAAAAGAAAAGCATGAACATAAGGATTTGTAACATACAGAGTAATTGAAACATGTAGTGTTGTTTTTGTTAATGAGGCATCTTCCTGTTAAATGCTATACATTTACATAACAGCAAATTCGGATGCTTAAGGCATTAACGTTATTTACCCGAAGGCTCTGATAAGAAGGCGAGGTTTATCAAGCATAAAAGCACCGTTTACTGCATTTTCAAGTAGAACATTACATATTGCACAAGACATTTCAATGTGTTTTTTTCCTTTCTAAACAGTGTATGCTTTTAGTTGGTGAAAGTCCTTTTTGAGCCTGATGTGTTTATTCTGAGTGGAGGGCTGAGTCTTGCTAATGCATCACGACACAACCACTAAAACATTATGAGAGGGCAAAGAGCAACACTCTCTCAAAAGCAGATAATGATACAAATATTTTATTGGTTTCAGAATAAAAATGCAGCCTTGTTGCTCTGGTCCATCACCACAACTCAGCACCTCTGAAGACAAGCCGACATGTTTACCTTGATCTCCTACCAGATCTGACTTCAAATACCCACACCTTCTGTCCAAAACACACACACACACAAAAACACACACACAGATGCTCTAACCTCTCGACTACCTTTCTAAGCTTGGCCGATCCTTTCATGGACGCACACAGACCCTCCTCTGCAGGTGTAGGGTTACCTTTGCCTCAGACATCAACACACAGTGTGCATCAATGTCTGTGCATGTGTGTGTGTGCGCGCGTTTGTGTATGTGTTCGCAGACTGACCTGGCGTCTAGTCTCGGAGCCAGACACACCGCACACAATACACACTGACGTGTCCCTCGATCATCTTTTCAACCTCTCTTTTCTTTCCTTCTTCCTCTTTCATTTCTTTGATTTTCCACTTCCATCCACGGGATCCGTTACATGAGACGCCAACGGCCAACATGCACTTTGTTGAAATATGCGTAGACCCTCGCGACACAGAATGCAACTTGATAACTGTGATGGTCTTGTGATAAGGTTATTAAACGTTCTCTAAGCAACGCACACAGACACAAAGTTACACCATTTGCTTATGTCAATATCGCAAGTATACATAAGCGACCACTAACTTTTCATACCTTAACAATGTGACTACAATATAAGTTTCAGATAATTATAAAAAACAATATCAAATGTTCCAACTCAAAACTGTTGGGGTTGGTTGAATTTGAAGCAGATTACTTTGCCTTTTTCAAAAGCTGTATTTATTTAGATATTTTCAAATTGGCATCATTTGGTGTTTCGCACCTTTACTTTGATGCAGAACTGAAACTATTTGCAGTTTTTCTTAAGAGGGTTAGATTTCAGTATCTTATATCTGTATAATTCATACTTTGGAAAAGCATTGTGCGAAATATACCATAACAACATGAACATACGGTATGTGACTTCACAAGATGTTGCTATGTGTTAATCAGGCGCTGATGGGTTTCAGTAGGGATTAAATGCGGTTCACGGATAGCCCCGATTAATCCAAGATACACAACACTTAAAATCATCAACAGATGACATGTAATGCTACACACATGTATACACACATGTATACACTTGTCCTAAAGCTTCCTTCCTTATGGAGACCCATACATCTCTACCCTAGGGCGTTGTTCGACAGTAGCGATGAATTATTTTTGAAGTTGCTTCTGGATCCATACTGTGGATATGAAGTATCCCACACTATAGGCTGTATATGTGTGAGCTTGCCGGAGTGGGGGTGTAGAATCCATATCAAACATTCATTGGGTGGTCCTCATGGCTCAGACAGGCTTGAACTTGAAATGTAAACGTAAAGGAAACACAGGAGTTGACTCTTATATTTCAAAGTATTTAACCGCTTTACAATGAACGGTCACATAGTCAATGCAAATCAGTGCATGATGTAAAAGCTTAAATGTTCGTGGTTAGTGGTTTTTCCATGAAGTGACACTATGAGTAAACATTTCCTGGTGATTCAACGACTTTGACTAGCCCCATTAACATGTATGGTTAAACTCCTCGTCTTTAAAACGCACAAACTCTCTATTGACTCATTGAGTAACCACTTAGGCCTTTTGGTATTCCGGAGAATTAGCCCATCTCACAGGAGAAAGCATGTGTAGTTATTTCTGTAGTTACCGTACAACCAGGTAATTTATTTAAAATGAGTTATGACATTTGAAGGAATTGCACCTAGTGTGAAAGGTGTGCTGGTACAAAGGTTAATATCAATTATTTCCCACAGCCCAGGTTGAGCTTTTCAGATTGCTTTTTTTGATGGACTAACAATCTGAAAATGTAACACATTTAATTTACAATTATCTAGAAGGAGGAAAGGAAATCCTAAAATCTGGCAAGTTTAAAGAACAAAGCGTTTATAATTTTGCTTTATCATAGACTTTAACAATGAATAGATTTCATTTATCAACATTTTCGGTTGATAAACTAACTAATTATATTCATCTTTGTTTCCGATTTAAAATGTATTATTAGGCAGCATAAGGGGGCCACTTTACTTGGACACACTGAAGAGCAGACCTATTTCATAGCCGGTTTCAGTGTAGTTCGGTTATACTTGCTGCTAATGTTAATTTTTTTACATTTTTAATTATTGTTATTCTTAATAAATGTACTTGCATGTAAATTTGTATTATATTTGTATTTTTTTTAAATATTTGTACTGTTTATTACTTGACACTGCCGTATACATCTATCCATCTATCTATTTAAAGGGTTTGGTTTTTTGACAATGTTTTTTACTTCCATAACATTTAAATGGGATAGATGCTGGATACAAAATGTAACCAAAAAACAATAGAAAAAGACATTCCCCATTTAAATCAGGTTTACATTTTTGACAAACTGTGACATGAGGATGATTAATGTTAAGTAGCTCTAGATATTAAAGCTCAAAATAACTTTACAGAGAAACCCTGAGATGTTTCAGTTACCAGTTCAATATGCGTCATTACAAATGTAAAAAATGTTTTGCTATTAATACTGGTAGAATATTTGGTTGTGTTAGTACAAGTATTTGTAGTAAGAGGTGTCTGGCATGGTTTAAGACAAAGCCACGTCAGCTGTGATTTACTTTGTGGCGTGTTGTTTTATTGGCTTGCAGCCCCAGAAAGAGTTAGGAAACACACACATGCAAAGACACACACACATACACCCACACACGCACACACACAGTAAAAAGCCCCAGCTCTACAGGAACCGCTCCAGTCCAGACAGGGGCTGAATTGTTTTGTTTCCATAGTGACCTGGCAGCACACAGCTGACTGCAGCAGGAATACACACAGACAGACATGCACTGGCTCACACACACGCCAAAGACAGGCCGCACACACACACATTACAATGACCGGACTGATGGGACGCACAAAGGGAGGAAAGATATGGGGGAGGGAGAGCAGGAAGGTGAGACAGAGGAGAGGAAGAGAGGGTAGGAGAAAAAGTAGGCTGTTTAGAAAAGAAAAAGAGTGATAAGCGAATGCACAACAGAGCGGGAATATGTGTGGGTGGGATTAACTAAATCAAACATATTCACACATTTCACTACATAACCTGTATCCCTGCCTCGGCAGAGGATCGTCTTTCCTTACTCATGTTGTTCATTGTTTCGGACTACACAGGCTTTAGCCCAATCCCTATTAAACTTCATGAACCCTCTGCACTGACTGAATAATCTCATCAGTCACACGGGCAGAAACATGACACCTAAAGATGGAGTGGAACTTTAGACTTCTTTCTTTCTTTTTCAGGAGCAGCGTAGGTGGAGAAAAACTTAAAACTTTTAGAGGACAAGCTAGCCAGCTCCCTCCCCCTCTCTATCTCTCTTTCTCAGTCTTCACATGAAAGTGATAGATCTGGGGCTTTATGACCTCTTTATAGACACAAAGACTGCATTGAGATCAGGAGAGAAAGAGAGAGAGAGACCCAGCCCTCTACTCATCACAACACCCTTTCTTCAGCCCTGCACTTCCTCTCCTAATCCCCCCCACCCCTCTTTATTTTAACTTTCTCCCTCTCTAACTTGGGACCCTCCCTGGTCTTACACTAGTATTGCCCAACCAATCACAGCACTGGACGCTGCTAACCACTAGGCCACCTGTGGCAATGATTTGCCAGTTGGCCGTGGACCAATGACAACGCGGTAAAAAGACACGACGGCTATTTCTCCCACCCTGCATGGCTGATTTGGGTTATGTGGACCCTTCAACAAGCCGTCTTCACATGTGCATGCACCCACCCACACACACACAGACACACAGCAGTGGTGGGAGGTAATTCCACTCATACGACAGTCACTGACATCAATGAGCAACTGCTGCCTAATTGTTACCATATGGTTTTACCAGCTTGTGTGCGTGTGTGTGTGTGTGTGTCTCTTCAGTATTCCTCAAGGAACAACATTTCAACACAGCTCCACTGACTGAATGGTAGAGACGGGATTCCCCCATATTTCTGCTAAGGCTGCAATTTGTGTTTCAAAACAATGTTGTTACATAGTAACAGAATTGAATCGGATAAGTAAATCAGAACCAGCTTATTTGCATCGGTGTCAATCTTCCTTATACTGTTCAATCATATTCTTGTTTATAAAATTGATATTATGAGACATAATTTTAACTATTCAGTTACAATGTATGCTACTTAGTACTTACAATGGGTGAGCAGGCGGTGCATTTGTCAAAGGCCATGCTTGCAGGCAGGACATTGTCAAACCTTGAAAGAAAGCCCCGGATCTGTGGAAGAGAAATCAACAGGTCAAAAACTGACATGAAACTGAGGAGCAAAATAGCGGAGCCGATCTCTTTCCAAAACCACATTCATACACACATTAATTGACATTATGTAAACATAAAAACGTTCCTGTAGCCATAAAGAGATGAAAACACAAGGTAAATCAGGAGAAAGATAATATGTAGTATTTGAGTGAATTGAATGTGCCTTTCAGACAGAAACTGTCCTTCTTTTTGAGAATAAAGTACTCTTGTTATTTATTCCGTGTAAGAAAAAGTGAACGCAACTGTATAAAGATCAACATTGAAGTGCTTAAAAAGTTTGGAGGCAGTTTGAGTTTTCCTATTTTTTGTATTTCAAAATGATGCTGAGAGCGCCCTCTGGTGCATATTTTCAGTTAAACATGTTCAGCACATCTCACTGCTGAAAGCTTTCTCTCCAATTTATGGCTACCGTAATTATGGTTATTTACTGTGATTACTGTCTAAAGAACCCCTCTACACATGTACATACACTAACAACTGTTTAGCAACACATTGAAATCCCACTAAACACCAAAAATCTCTTAATGCGCCTCATTCCTTCTCCCCTATTCATACGTGTTCTTTAAATACATCTTTCAAATTCTGTTTTCTGGTGACGCACTCAGCCCGAAGCATGAAATAGCTCACCCTCTGGTGGTGAAGTAGACACACATTTTTTACATTTGTGAGAAAAGTTAACAGGAAATGAAAAGCTTTGACTTTTTGGAAAGGAGATCTGGGTGCTCTATGAATCTTTACGCACCCCCATTTCAATAACTCATCATGGGGCTAAATGTACACTCCCCCCAGGCTGGATGGTAATCTCAGGATATCAGGTTAAGATGTTCATCTCTAACTCTGGGACTGATAATAAAATACAATGTGTACACAGTGTTCATCTTACAAGAGATTTCAAATTGATTTAGGAGCTCCAGTTAGTGAGGCTTATTTCATTTTGCCACGTTTTTATTAATTTGTTTTAGTCTTTTTACATCTTCCCATTTCTGTACTGATTATTTCAACTTACAAAAAGGCCAAATCTAGGGGTATACAGGAGGAATAAAAAGGCTTGAAAGATGATCTGCAGTAGCAGGCATTACAAATATAACATTAATGTGAGAGGACAACTGCCTGCGCACATGTCCAGTGGATGAATGAACAAATGGAGGGCTGAATGGATGGATGAGTCAGACCAAGGGGGCGAGAGTGGGCAAGTGAGATGGACCAGAACAAACTAATCGCTCTACATAAAACTGTCTTTATATACTACATTGAGTTCAGGAGTTCAGGTACAGTATGAATGTATTGCAAGGTGCACTGTTGGACTTGTGACATTCATACTTTCAAAAGACTTTATAAGCTTCACTGCCTCACTGATTGAGAGCACTGGAATAAAGACCTGAGCTGTGACAATAAGCATACATAGTTTTAAAAAAGTATCCTGAATGTGTGTATGATGGGCGGCACCTGGAAGTTGCTAGACATCTTCCAGAAATAACATTATTTATACATGTTACTACAATCTTTTTATTGTTATTATTGATTGTGTTTTTGTTACTTTTGTCTATTAGGTACATAGCAGATTTGGCATGTCTGTCTGTCTTGTTGCCATTTTTTCCCCCACTAAATCATTTTTCTGTATCTAAATTGAGGCTCTATATTAGATTAATTGACTTGATTTCAGTTAGGGTCGAGTATTATCAGCCACAGATTTTTCTTAACATCAAATTATAGAATGATGCATGTATAATGCAGATATTGTGATCTGACTTGTGCTTATATCCACCAATTTACCCAAGCAAGCACAAAGGAATTATATGGCAGCAGAGAGGGTCAAAACAATGCTTTGTTAGTTTTAGGAATGGCGATGAATACCGGTAGTTTAAAGACACATAACAAATGGGTCAAGGTGGTGGCATCAATACAATTTTATTCAGCCTGTATTTGGAACTCTTATCTTCAACACTTGATAAATGCCATGTCGTTACATGTAGTTTCTGTAAATAACCACGAGTTGTCAGTGTGGCACCACGGAAAAGAAAGCCTACATAATTCATCTGCAGAGTGTTGTATGAACTGAAGACGGCTATATAGAAAAATAGACACACACCCAAGCATGTACACCCTCCTGCATATTATCCACCCAGTATTTATCTCTCTGTGGTCATCATGATATTATTCCCTTGCCTTTGCCGTCTTCATGCACGTGCACACGCAGCTCGAGCAGCGGAGGTGACAAATGGCAGATATTCAGATTTTCAGATTGATGAATATGGATGATGATGCAAATGGAGGTGATGAGATACTCGAGTATGTGGCAACAGTCAGTTAGCAAAAGGGCACAGCTTGGATAGCTGCATATTATCGACTCATTTTGTATTTGGACACAGAAAAGCATTCTTGGACAATTCATTTTTCAAGCTAAAGTTGTTGGCTACCACTAACTCCAGTGTTTAATATTATAATGTATTCGCCTTTTGGGTCTTTATAATCACATGTATGTTGTCTTATACTACTGGTCACAGTTGAGTTTGCACCAGTTTTTTTGTCAAACCAAATAAAAATGTATTTGTGAAAGAAATATACAGACTAGTGACTTTGACCGGCTGAAGAAGTTAGCGTAGATGCTGCAATGGCATCAGTTATATCAGACCTGAAGAGCATGTCTTCATTGAAAGTAGAACAAGGCTTTTCTCTCTATGGAAAATATGTTTTCACTCTTAACACTGCTGGCTTTGGGTGTGAGTTTGATTGACAGATGGTTCATCCAGCCACCTGCCAATTTATTTTTAAAAGGCCTTCCCTTTTCCACACTGTTTCCAATCACAGCTTCTCAGATGGTTTTGTGTAAACCATCTGGTGCTTGACACGCAGTAGTCACGCCACATAATTGACTGTTCCTATTTCAATCTAAAAATCTACACACAAAAACAATGGCCAAAAGACAGACCATGGAAAAATGGCTACACGAGGCGAGACATTCAGGCTAGCCCTTCAGGTTTTAGCAAACTAACTCACTGATGTCCACTATGTACCATGTGTATGTATTGAGCTATGTTTTCTTCAATAAAGTGCAGCCTGACCCACTCCTTCCAGCTGAATCTGGTCTGACGTCCAGTGCTCCTCGATCTATAAAAACTGACTTAATTTTGCTCTCCGCAACAGCGGCATCAGCTTAAAATCTAGTTATGGTGAGCCACTCGACCTTATCTTTGGTCCATTTCTACTTTCAAATTTCATAATTCATAGGATGGAATACATTCTAATAGATAATACACAGAAACAAGCAAAGCAACAGTGCATGTTATAAAATGTCTTCCTCTCACAGTTAATAGTAGGCTATTCATGTTTCTGGTCATATAACACAGAGCTGTATCTTCTCTCAATTGTGAAGGTTTTTCGGGTAGGTGGAGCATCTTCATTTAGAATATCATTTTTGAGTGACCATTACAATATATATATATTTCTTTTTTTCAACTGAAGACAATGTCAGTGATTTGTTGACGTCTAAAAGGCTTAGCAAGGGGGATGGACTTTGAGATGTATCACATACTTGTTCTATGCATAAACTGACTGCAGTACAAACACAGTCAAAGCACAAAGCTATTTATTATTAAGTCTACAGTTAACAGTCCTACAATCAGTAAACACGACAGTGGGAAAAACAAAATAATAGGTGCTGTGACTGTGGAAGATGCTAATGCTAGGCTAACTGTAAACTGAAGCTAAAGGATGCTAATGCTTAGTTGAAGTGGGTGCCAGGACTGAGATAATCGGAAATGGTAAGCAGACTTCAGAAGCATTAGAGATCCTGCTTTAAAATATATCTCTTAAGAAAGCTGATAATTCTTAAAGGGAAAGTAGATGGCATAGCACAGAAAAGTCTCTCTCTGTAGGTCCTAGATACAGTATTTATAGCTTGTATTACTCATAGACTTAACCTACTAGAGTAGCAAAGCAACAAAGTATAACCACTAATAGTAATGTAGTGAAGTAGAAGCATAAAGCCTCTTTTACTTACAAGAACAAGTATCTATGTGTTTGAATGTATGCAATGTAGTTAAATACATCCAATGCAGCTTTTACATGTTCAGTCATGTTGTACTGAGTGCATGTGGTTTCTTACTGAGGTATTATTCTGCTACTATATTTGTGTACATCAGGTAAGTAGGTTCAATAGAATGCAGCCCTGATAAAGCATCACCACGAAGTGCATCTTGAAATGTACCACAGATTTGCGTTGCCACACCAACGACTTAGTCAATGCGTCAGATAATCATTTGAAATAAGTTATATATATATTGCAGGGCTGTTATATTGCGCAGCACTATCTTTTATTTATTCAGTTCACATAATAGCAAAAACTGACCTTTACTCTTTAATACCACTCTTGGTTCAATGCAGCTTGTTCATAATGAAACAAGACTTGTAACCAAGGCCATGATTGACAGGACGTTCACTTTTTTAATTATTCAAAAAGGCAACAAGCAACAGCGCTCAACCCGGCATCGCTCAGCAACACTTTCAGTTTCCATCCGAGAGGCAAATCTTTCAGTAAATCTCCATTTAAACGTAACCGTTTCAATGCATGTTGCTAAAGATGCCACTGCTTGTCTAAGTACTTTTTTGTCAAAAATACCTTTATATGTTATTTTAAGTTAAACAGTGCATTTTATTGTAGGAACTGGTGTACACACAATAGAAGGCACACAATATTCTGAGAAGACGTAAAACGAAACAGCTGTGAAAGGATAGGCAACCTTAAGAAATACATGGCATGTGATTGGACGAATGATCTGTCAATCGAACTATTGGAAAAAGCCAGTCTGACACGTGAATAGTTACACAACCCTGATTGTTCAATACAAATTGTAGTTTGGAAACAAAGGCATTACTTGATGCCTTAAACGATTGACTTTTGAGTGATCTCCAGCTAGGAAAGGTCTATTAGTACAGCGGATAAGCTCTCATATTATAAC